TTGTATTATCCGAGTTGCGCAGTGTATAAACTGGAACATTGAAATCAAAAGTGCCGACGCAGGGTGAGCGATCTGATTCTTTAGTTATAAACTGTGTCATAGGAATCAAAATGGCCGCGCCCTATGTTGGGCGTGTCGGACTTCTCTCTTGCCCCGTATAGTAATGAAAGTATGTGATATCAATATATTTACGAAGAACTGGAAATCCGTTATCGCTGGCAACACTGGAGCAATCCTCTACTTACAACACATACTTTGATTGTCTTTTACTTACAATCATATCGTCGCCATTCGATCGTATATTAGGATAGATACGCCTTACCTGTGGAAGTAATGGGTTTAATGATTATCTAGACGGGGAGAGAGGAAAGGTATACAAACGGAGAACTTAGCAGTGTCGTACCGTATGGAAGGGGTTATATATTGTTAATTACTATAAAATGCTAGATGAAAGCGGATGGACATGATTTTAAAAATATTGTTTTATAGCGTATATTTTTAACTTTCAATGTAAGAATAGTTTTTTCAGTATTGTGATACTACATAGACCATGCACAGGCTTGTCATATTGTATATTATTTACTCAATTTTATAGGATTATTAATTTTGTACTTTAAACAATTTGTATACATTTTGAGTAAATATACCTACTATAAAGCTTGACGAAGGAGAAAAGAAAATAGAAAAATATTGTGAAGAACCCGTTTTATATGTGAAGCAAGAATATTATACATATTTCTGACTACATACCTTCCTTTATGAAATAAAATAAAGACCAATTAAAGCATTTTATTTATCAACCAAAAATAGTTATACACAAATAATAATAATACTCTTCCTAATTACGGAGATTAATGAACTTTATTATTTACAAAGTACTGTAGCAAAATTTTGCCGTACACAAGTTAGAGGGAACAGAAGAAATAATGGCATTGTGTTTGTTCTTTATTTTAACAATTCTGACAATGCATGAAGTAGTGTGACGAACTTAAAATGGGTAGCGTCGATTGACTTTTTCTGATATTTTTAAATACCAATAATAAGAATCCCTTATTTAAAATGGTTTTATTTCGACAGATGGCTATTTTTTCAAAATTTAAATGCAAATAAAAACCTACAATAAATAGGTACATATTATATATAATTAAAAATAAGCTTCAAGATTTATTTTTATTTTTTTAAAATATTATTTAAAGTAGTTCATTAGAAAAGACGGCTTTTCTTAAGAATTCAATAAAATTAAAATATAATGTTAAAGAAAATGTCTTTTACGTACCTAACTAAAAAAAATTTTTTTTGACCGTCTGTGAAACGAGATATTAACAATTAAATTGTGCATAATTAACAGTCTTGAAGCCTGTCATGTACATAAGCAATGCATTTATTTCAAGATATTTCGAAAACGGTTCTTACTATATTTTTTTAAAAACTAATGTAAATCAAACAGTTATACAATTTTCTAAAAAAACGTTGAATTTTTTGACCGTTTTGGTAAAAAGATAGATTTTTAAAAGAAAAATATGTTTAAAGTAGTCGACGCGTAGTGGGGTACAATGATTACAACTTGGCAACATTGTTAGTTCAGAATCACTGAATTACACTCGATCAGCTAAGAGGTTGTTATAACCTCGTGAAGTGTTCTTGAAAAATTAATTTGTCTACTGTATTTGAGAACTGGAATCGACGCTTCTGTTTGAACCAAAACAAAACCTTAAAATTAGTATGATGAAGTCACAAAATTTCTATAGGTATACACTTGTTATCGCACCATTCCTATATTTGTGACGTTGCCGGATGGATTTTACTTGAAATAATAACGTATCCCTACATAAGCTTACATGTGTTGTGTTCAGTATCTTACAAAAAATACATTTTTCAGCGTTGAGAATCTCAAACTATTGGCGATATTTTTGTGTACGACTGTCGCGCGTGTCCACCGCGATCTTTTCAGATAATAATAATAATAATAATTGACAGTGGCATCCACATGCATGTAGTTACATATGTCTGGCTTTTCTTCATCTAGTATAAGAAATCTCAATCTAATTAGGCTTTCACATTGGTGCAGGACGTGGATTGATGTTTCCTTTTCTAATTCACAGAACCCGAATAAATTAAAAAAAAGGAATAAATTAGAAAATATCTTAGAATTTAAAAATAATTTAATTTTGTAAAAAAAGTGAAAACTTACTGTTTGGAAGATAAAAATAAATAAATACCTTGGGAGATTCTACTTCTATTACACACCAACTACGGTTGCTTATTACATTGTTCTTACTTCTTTTTTGCAAAAAAAGTGAAATGTATACGTGTATTTGATACGCCAAAATTACAAAATATCGCCCTAAAGTGGTCGAATTATCTGCAGCTTGTGCTAGTATCGCTTTTGCTTCCCCTACCATAACTTCGCACTGAGGGAATATAATCATCATACGTTCCCACATATACATTTTCTATACTACTTCCCTCAACGAAGTACCTATGTACTAAAAAAAATTATAAGTTTTCAATAATGGGTTAATATAATCAAAAAAGTTTACTTTGTGTTTATTAAACTACAACTGGGAGACAACAGTTCTAAGCTATTTTTCACAGTATTTTAGACCTCAATAGTTTCAGAATCGAATTGTTTAACTAGGTGTAAGTAGACGTTTGCAATAAATACTTATAAATTACCTTTTTTACCTTTTACCTATACGAAAGTATGTATATAAAGACACTTGTTTACTTACTCTATTAACAAAACATTGGATTTCAAATAGAATGTTCGATTTTATTATAGCTAAATAAATCTTCATGTGAAAAGTGATCTGAACAAACTTTGGCATCTTTCAGTTTTGAGATTTTGCTCATTTATTTTCAAGTTGTTCAGCCACAATGACATTAGACAATGTCTCTCGGAAACGTGTAAAACGTATATACCTTAAAATAGCCAGTTCTACTATGAGGTATTTTTATATCAAGAAATAAAAAACCCTAGCACAGTTGTTACGTTCATGGATATCTACATTATTTACATTTCATGAGATTGATTTTGACATAACCTACCTTTGAAAATAGCAAGCATTGGTTTTGGGTGTTTTTATTCCAAAATGTTCGGGAAACTATGCATCTCTTTACTGTTTTGAAATGTATAATCACGTTTGTAAATAATTTCTTTCATATAAATAAATAAAACAAGAATATTTCACTAAAATAAAACACCGAATGACACTTTTAAAAACATACAGAAACAGGGTTGCCAAACGTCCAGTTAAAATATATTATTTAGTGGTTAAACTAATGGATCGTAGTGAACAAAATCTAAAAACATCTAATTTAAACACCGATTCAATACGGAAGAAAATGAAATGAGAAATTTTATGAATATGATCCAGATTCTTAAATAAAATGTTAAATATTAAGCTCCATATTAAGTATTTCGAACCTTGAAACATTGGGAACTAATAATTATTATCCTTATACGTTTAACCGAAAGTGACACTGTGGCAACCTCTGCTGGTACCACCGTTTGTTGTGCATGCGATTGTGGACCTTATTATCATACGACAATTATTTATGTAAACAAGGCGCCCTCATCACGAAGTGGCATAAGTGACAAATAGTAAATTTTAGAGCAATAAAACGAAAATACGTAATTCTCATATCGTTATGCGTTATTGCAGATAGGACACAGAAATAATATGTTGTATTGCATGCACTATTAAAATTGTAGATGTGCCACTTTGTGAGATGATAAAGTAGGTCAAGACTAGTTAATCCGCACAAAAAAACATTTTTTTAATTTTTGTTGGTTAGGTCACTTCGTGATAAGGGCGACGATATATATCAGAGACAATCTGCATATATCAATTTTATCCAGTGACGTCATAACCGCACAGAAACATTAAAAATTATTTTAATTATAATATTTGAATTTTCTATAAAATTTGGAATTTGGAATTTTCAATTAATGTTTCCGTAATTTTAAGTTGTAATTGAACGCCATATTTTCGTTACTCAGCCAATTACACAAAAAAATTTAAATCGTAAGATCAATGGTTTAAATCGTGAGAACTGCAGACAAATCATTAAATCTCACGATTTATCGTGAGGTTTAACATTCTTACTACAAAGTCATTCTTTTTTACTAGAGGGCATGATAAAGGGAGCTCATATAAAACGGTATTCATACATCTTTTCAGTAAAACCAAAGAAGTTGAAACAAACCATCAAAATCCAGCAGTACGGAAGTAGTGTATCGTACATTTATAGCATCATATTTTTTTATTTACAAATACAGGATGTCCCACTATAATGTAATACATTTTAACAGCCTATAACTCAAGAGTGAAAAAGATTCGACGTGCAGTTTTCGCTAAACTTCTTACATTTAGAGAAAAAAATCGAATGTATGTATGTATGTATGTATGTATGTATGTATGTATGTATGTATGTATGTATGTATGTATGTATGTATGTATGTATGTATGTATGTATGTATGTATGTATGTATGTATGTATGTATGTATGTATGTATGTATGTATGTATGTATGTATGTATGTATGTATGTATGTATGTATGTATGTATGTATGTATGTATGTATGTATGTATGTATGTATGTAATGTATGTATGTATGTATTTATGTATGTATGTATGTAAGTCCAGTTCTCTCAAACAATTACAACGTTTTATTGGCATGATTAATTTCTATCATAAGTTTGTTTCTAAGATTGCTCAAATTTTTAGACAAAAACAAAATTAAAATTATAGAAGATTGGCCAAGTGAATACGAAAAAAGAGTTTTAATGAAGCGAAAGAATCGCTTATTGAAGCTTCTTTATTAGCTCATCCATTAAAGGAAGCTACATTATCACTTACAACAGATGCTAGTAATTCCTGTGTTGGTGTTTTCTCAAAAAAAATATCAAAATCTCAATTAAATTATAGCATTTTTGATAAAGAATTATATGCAATTTATCTATTAATCAATCATTTTAGATATATAGGCAGATAGGTCTCCTAGACAATTCAGATATATAGAATATATTTTACAATTCACTAATAAAATCCCCTATGTAGGCCTCAAAAATGCTAGAGTTGCCTAACTAACAAAATTTCAAAACAACCGGTCTTCATATACCTATTATTATTAAAAAAATCATTTCAGTACGTACCAAAGTTGCCTATTAAAATAATACGTTTTCAGTAGATACAGGTAAAGTGTTATGGTCTCCATTTTCTCACTTTTAATAAATTTTTTAGGCAAGTCTGGCACTGAACCACTCAATTTAAGGGAGATAAATAAAAACACAAACAATGCTTGCTGGGTTTATTGTTAACAAAAAACATCGCAATGCGAGTCCATCACTTTTGTGTTTTGTCCTTTTTTGTTTTTTCATATTTACAAATATTTATAATATTTTCAGGTCTGTACATCAAAATTCAGTAGTAAAAAATTCATCACGTGCCTTACATTTAAGCTTCAGCCTTTTCTGCCACGTTTGATGCACCAGTAACTGTAGAAACGCTATCGTCAGGTTCAGTGCCACAAATCAAAGATGGGAACTTCTTTTGCAGGGCTTGTCTATATTTAGGATGGCTAAAAAAAATACACATTATTAACAAACGTATTCTACCGTCAATCCAACAAGTTGTATTTGTGTTGTATTCATAATAGCCCAAGAGCCCACTGCAAATTTTTACCGGTATCTGATAACGAAATGAAATATACCCCAAAAGCATGGAAAAACATTGTACTTTACCAAATGGCACCTGTACTAATCCCAATCCTGAGCAAAGTGGCTTAAAAAAATTATTTTATATTAAAAAAATCACATAAGGCATGACAGAGCTAATTTTGTTTGCCCTTAAAGTTTTCCAGAAAATAACATATTTAAATATATCTTGATATATATCGTTAAAGGTAATTTTCTTCCTCTTAACATCGCACAGAAACATCTATCTACAATTAGTAGGTAAAAATCATTAAAAATATGAATCAACTTTTTCTGATTTAAAAATTTATTTGTGTACCTTTTGTTGTAATTCATTTTTAGAGGTTGCCATAGGTACAATATTGTTACATGTCTTTGGAACATATTTAATTTTGTTATCATATGACGGTCGAAATTTGCAGTGGGCTCTCCTACTATAATGTGCGCATCATAATTGTTATTAACCTCTATTAAGGCGAGAGTTCAATTACGTTTAATTTTATTTCCTAATAAATTTGAAACTATACAAATTAATGAGCTAAGATTTGGTAGACGTTTTTGAAATAAATCAGAGCAGTTGCTGACGCCAATTTAAATAATGTAACTTTGATAATAATAAAAATAAAAGTTTAAACGATTTTAAAAAAGTGTAATACGATTTTTTTTAAGGGGTCAAGCAAATACTCTATTAATAATCAAATACAATTACGTTGAAACTAATTCTCAAAACAATGTAATAATGGAGAAAATTGAGAAATAAAATACAAGCTAAAATTTTTAAATAAACCCTGTTTTACCAACATTTTAGTTCAGGCACTCGTCGATAGATCTAAAAACAAGCAAGTCGAATCATTCGCAACATTCAACACATGCACTGTATTCGGAATATAATTTTGATTAATGTTTAGACTGGGAAAGAAGTACACACTCAGTGGTTAAATGATTGGGTTGAATTGAGGAATTGAGTACTCAAGTGTGTATATATAAATGTTTATACAATTTGGCTAGCGCTTTCGACAAATCATTGTCATCTTCAGGCCATCCTACAAAGTTTAAAATTTAATACGAGAAGTAAGGGTGAAAGAATTACCTTACGTCAATAGATATCTATCCCGAGTTAAAATTGAATAAAAATACATGGGTTAAAACATTGAATACATTTTTGAAAAAGGGGGTGTTGAAAATTAACAAAACACCCTTATATTTCGTATTTTACAAATACTTTGGGGTCTATTCTGTAACAATTCCTTTATATTTAAAGGCATTTAAAAATATTGGCGGCCTTTAAAAGTATATTTGTATTCGTTAATTTACTTCTGTCATTATTTAAACTGATTTCTTTAAGATAATCCTCTAATGTATTTTAAAGATCCGTTTAAATAATGAAAGAAGTAAAGAAGAAAATATTTTTAAAGGCCGTTAAATATAAAGGAATTTTTACAGAATAGACCCCATTGGGGTCTATTCTGTAACAATTCCTTTAGATTTAACGGCCTTTAAAAATATTTTCTTCTTTACTTCTGTCATTATTTAAACGGATCTTTAAAATACATTAAAGAACTATCTTAAAGAAATCTGTTTAAGTAATGACAGAAGTAAATTAACGAATACGAAAATATCTTAAAGGCCGCCAATATTTTTAAAGGCCGTTAAATATAAAGGAATTGTTACAGAATAGACCCCTAAATCAGTTAAAATTTTTTTAATTTTAACGGTACATCGTACCTATTAGACAGTGGACAAATGACACATAGACAGACTGACACATGACATAGGCGACATTGGTTCTGGAATTAACCGATCCATGTGATCTATACTTATTCAAAAATGATACAATGGTTGAAAAGTTGGCAAGGGTATAATAAGTTTCTGCAGGACATGATCCACACAGCGGTCCAGAGAGACTTATTATAATGGTATGGGGGAACTATTGTAGCTTCGAATTAGGAATAAGTGTAGTCCAGGTTAGGGTCAGACTCTAAAACCAATAGCGGGTCCTCCTGATTAGTTACCTAGTGAATTTAACAATTATGTCGCCTCACTTCGTGTAAAATTTCTTTTCTTTTAATTTTTTTATTGAGCCGTATTTGAATCATTCCCCGTCCACAATTAGTTATTGAATGAAGCCAGACGACTTCTGTAAAATTAAATTCACACATACGCTCTCGATGGACTCTGGGCAAAATTCAAAAATATTATTTTCTACGACCGTCGTGGTCGCCGTTCAAAACAACGCGTAAATAAACCTTATTTAGGGTCTATTCTGTAACAATTCCTTTATATTTAACGGCCTTTAAAAATATTGGCGGCCTTTAAAAGTATATTTGTATTCGTTAATTTACTTCTATCATTATTTAAACAGATTTCTTTAAGATAATCCTATAATGTATTTTAAAGATCCGTTTAAATAGTGACCGAATTAAAGAAGAAAATATTTTTGAAGGCCGTTAAATATAAAGGAATTGTTACAGAATAGACCCCAATATCAGTAAGCGAGAATTTTCGTTTCCCATCGCTTGGTTATTAAGATACAAGGGGGCTCCGACAATATCGAGTTCATTTATTTGTTTGCATTTGATTACCGTCATATTTAAATTGTTTCAAGTGTATTAATTTATTTTCGTACATTTTTCGTATACTGGGCGTTTCACAATTCCCAGTCCGATTAGCCTCCTGTGCTAATAAACCATAAATATTTCTATATATATATAATTTTTAACTTTAATAATTTACTTTTAACAAATTTTCCAAATACGGGGATCCGTCAATATTTAAATAATTTTCAACTTTAATAATTAATTTTTATTGAATTTTCCGGATATAGGGATCCGTCAATATTTAAATACTTTTCAATTTTAATAATTTATTTTTAAAGAATAGATTTTCCGAATGCAGGAAGCCGTTCATATATAATTACCGTTGTATTTATTTTTTTTTTGTAAATATATATTTTAGTACTTATTTCTGTGTTTCTCTTATTACTGGTTCTTAACCATTCTCTTTCAGGATACCGTAGGCTACGAAGTAGAAAGAAGATAAGTGTTTTATTTTTATTTATTCTAGTATAGTGGATACCTAGCAGTGACCGCCTGGAATTACTTTTACCTCCACTGAGTTTACCTTGAGTACACTCTGGTGTTCTTCAGGGTCGCAGAGCAAACTGCGATACCAAAACTGGCGCCTGAGCAACCCCTATTCGGGAATCACCTTCATAGCGCCACACAGACTCGCTGATTCACTGTAGGTGAACCAGGAGCCTGTCACAACCTATGTAATAACACAATGATTAATTTATTACTTAAATCCCAATCCTAATGGTATTAATACCACAGTAGTGTTAAAACCTTATTATACCAATTTAAACAAAATCGTCCTTTATATAATTCCTGTTTTTAATAACATTTAGTTTGTGGTCTGTAACCAATTGTTAAAGATACGCGACTTGTGATAATGGTCATAAAATAAATAAACTATTATTAACTTTCTGACGATTTAAGTCATTAACAGGAATTGAGTTGTGATTATGATATCCACTTATTTTCGAGAAGATGTCATCAGCTTCACCCACAGTATACAGCTTCATAGTGCCCTCTTTTTTAATGCATCTCCAACACATTTCTCCTGTACTTCTCACTTGCGATATTTATAAAATTTATGTCCTTCATATAAAAGTTTACCACGTTCACTTAAAATTTTATTCATTATCACTTCACAAAATTTGCAGATTATTTGGTAGATACATATATTGATGAAGAATCTACTTTTCCTCCTTCTATATGGGCTTCTAACACTGCCTCTCTTTATTGAACAACAAATACCTGTGATCATTTCACTCAAAATTTAATTCGTATATTGGCCATCCACACCCAAACATACACATTTTTATAGCAGCAGTGACAAATATGCAGACGGACACGTATATTAAAATTAACACTACCAAAATAAATCAAGCACGACCCATTCGTAAAAAAATATTGTATTCAGGTCAAAATCGATCATTACCTTCAAAATAAAATAACTCGCCTAGAATTTATAAAATGTGTATCATATAAATTATCTTTTGTTGTAATACCGTAATATTGGGAAATTTCAAACTTATACTTTTTTGTTGAATCAGTTAAGTTAGACTTGATTTACTTATTTGTAATTTTTTTATACGGTTACATTACCTATATTATAATTGTATTTCTTTAATAAAATTAAAATTCTTGTAAAATCGTAGTTTTTTCATTTTATTGTTCTGAATATCGATCATAGCAGAGTTCAGGTAGAGGATTATTTTATTAAAATATGTTTTGGGATTCCATAGCAGAAATCGGATGCCTACATTTAGTGATACCCTTAACCGGTAGCGGAATTCGGGTGCGCCCACGTCTATGTGTCGATTGTATGGAAGTATATTCCCATTTGGCTCGATTTTTTCGGTTAATACTAGTTATGTTCAACAAACAAAAATAACAATCGTCATGGTGGCTCATGGGTTCATTCTAAATCATAGCGGTTTTGTACCTGAAGCTATGTCTTTTCTTATTTGTCCATAAACGTAGGAACTCAATGCATGTTTTGAATACCTTTTGCGGAATCCAAGGCTTATTCTTCATTTCCAGCGGGTGCCCAAAGTAATTTTTGTAAGCCTCATTTACGAACTTTGTCACATTTAAACGGTATTCTTTAAATACATACTCTCCGCAAATGAAACAAAAATTGTTTGAATCATTCACACATACTCTTCTTGACGATGCCATATCAAATTACAAAATAAAACAATAATTCAAACAAGAAAGATAATTTCACTATTGTCTTACTAAACCTTCCCCTAAAATAACAAAAGTTCATTTCTTAAGAATTCTGAAATTGGGTTTTACCGGTCATTAAAGAGAGGTAC